CCTAAAACCCCCCCCCCCCCCAAGGGTGGGAGGAAAAAAAACCCAGAAAAAAATTTTTTTTTAAAAATTTGGTACCCCCCCCCCCCCCCCCCCCCCCCCCCCTCTCTCTCACTCTCCTCTCCACGGTCCCACTAGTTCCTGACGGGAGCGAAGTCGGCCTAGACGGTAGAAGCGAGAGGGATAATAAAAATACAGATAACAAATAGAAGACACCATTCGTTCCGATGGCCTAGACGGTAGAAGCGAGAGGGACAACGAAAATACAGACAACAAGTCGACGAGGACGACGACACCGTTCGTTCCGATGGCCACAACAGAGAGGCCAATAAGCAGCAATAACATCCAAGACACGACAACCGACAACGACAGGACAAGGACTACGCGAAAGACACAAAAAAAAACAAGTTAAAACGAGAACAAGAGGTCCACAACACGCCACCGCTCGCAAAGACCCTGAGAGTAAAGGACGATAGGGTCAAAAAGCATCGAAACCTAAGGGAAAGGTCTACCCCCACAACACAGAAAATCATGAACGATTCTCAAAAAACGAGAGGCCTGTTGTACGTGGGGGGTGGGCCTCTGGTGTACGCGTGCATGTAAAAACACAAACTGAATAAAAATACGATTGTAGGAGCTTTCGAGACGACGTTCTAACTCATGCCTGGCCCCAAAGGTCCCGCCCGCCCTGCACGGAAACAGGGCAATTCCAGCAAGTTTGCGTTCGTTCCCGATTATGTCGACAACTGCCGTGCGTGCTATCGTACGACTTCTTTTTTTTTTTTTGTCTTCACTTCAAATCAGCGCTCACAGCACTAGTGCCGTTTACTCCAACCCGTGGTCACACAGAAGAGCCCCTCTCTACCCTCCCCTCCTGCGGTACTTCGCCTTCGATTTTTAGTGCGAGAAGAGTTCAGCACTCTCTTCCCTCTGTGTACACACGAACTAGCGCTATCCACTAGGCCAGAAGCGGAAGCGAGAGAAAAACTCACTTTGCAAGAGAAGCTCGCTTACGCCGGGATTCGAACCCCTGATCTGACCTCTAGAAGGTTTCGAGGATACCTACTAGACCACCGGGGCGACCTTGGACATCGCCCAACTTGTGCGTGACAAAAAAACGGGAAAAAGTCGGAAACGTACACATATATACTACCGATGTGTCATGGGGTAAAAACCGCCCGGGAGTCGTACGTAGTGCAGCTCTGGGGCTTGGAGGAGACGAGGTGCGTAACAACTCACACGCGACAACTCGGCCGACCTCGCCCGAAAGCCCGGAAAAAAAAAAAAAAAACATATAGAAAACATTTCCGCGTGGGAAACAAGCACACCGAAGCAAAAGAAATTAAAGTAATGATGTTTTTTTACCACCCATGCATGTCAAAGGTACAGTTGCAGGGCGGTGGCTAAAAAAGCAAGTGAGGCAAGGTGCAAGCACAGGAAATTCAATCATGGCCAATCTTCATGACACGATATATTACAATACATGCCATCAACGCGCTCTTCTTGCACTGTCTCGTCGCAGAAACCGAAAACAAGCCCCACACCTCTAAGGCATGGTTTCGTCAATGGCTTGGTTGTTGCCGGCGTCCATCGCTGACAAACGTTAGTCTATGGCCAAAACAACAAATTCACTGCAGTATATTGTCAACGTTCCAACTTTCGCCGAATTGCGTGATACAAAAACACAACAGGAAACCGGTCGCTCGATTGGCCCATGTGTCGACAACCCGCTAGAGGTTTCTTTACCAACACCAAGTTGTGATCGGAGATCTCTCTTCTAGACTCTGGACTGTATATCTTTTGCTCTACCTTCCCTCTTTCTCGCTCTCCGTACTGCAGCACAAGCAAATGGACGTTGCTCGTGGCAAAACAGAACGCAACAAGCGAGGCACAAACCCACGCATGGTCTTCCCAATCGACGCAATTCGAAAAAGTACGATTACCACCGGGGTGTCACATAAACTTACACAACCATTCATCGTGTCTGCGAACATCGTACAACAAGCAGCGCAGACACACAGAATGCAACAACATCCTACGTACACGGGGGCTGCCCGGATTACAACGACACCGACGGGGGGTCGAGCAAGGTCTGAAAAATACCATACCATATATTACATTCATGACATCACCCCGTGCCGTGCCCGCACGACGTTGGATGATAAGTCAGTCTTCGTCCACGGCCATTTTTGCGCTTACGGCGGCGGGGGGGGCAACTCTAACGCCGTCTTTCACGGCGCACGCCTCCACGACCATAAAAAACACCGGGGGATGACGACTGTGTGCGCGCGTGACTTGACTTGAAGTGACGTTTCGTGACGTGATGTAAAATCCCTTCCCTCATTTTTTGCATCTACCACCACCTCTTTGACATCTGACGCGCTACAATGCGGCAGGCAACGCGCCTCCGCTCCCTCTCACATCCCATCCAGAGCCACGGCCAACCGCGGCCATCGTGACCACCACCACGAGTCTCGCGTTCTCCAACGGACGAAACCGCCGCCGGCGGCGCGGTCGATCAAACCTCAGCAAGGCGGTGCGGGGAGGCCACCATCGTAGAGAAGTTCTCCCCCTGCATCCCCATCCGCCGCTGCGCGCGGACGCTCTTAAAGCGGTCGGTTTGCAAGAAGCGTCGTAGGAGGTTGTCCTCTAGCATGGTCTTCACCTCCAGGTACGCCCTCGCGAAAATCAGTCTGGCAGGTGTTCATGGGACGCGGGGCGGCAGAACAAGAAGAAGAGGGGCGTGCCCAGCTCAGTCACTGTGTTGTTGCTTGCCTGTATGGTGATTTGGCTGTACTTTGCCGTGCGGTATCCCCTTCTTTTGAGAGGGAGCACCTCAACGGTGTCGGGAGGGGGGGGCGTGGCCGAGGCGTGGCAGGCTAACGTGGTGTCGCACCTTCCTCCCGTTCATCCAATTGTTGCAAGATAAGCAAAACAAAAATGACAAATTTGCAAATCTAAATAGGCATGTACGTTCTGTGCAAGTGATCCAGAGTGGGCTCATAAGAGCGCAGCAGTGCCATCACGGGGCAATGCAACATACAAGCAGGGGAGCAGGCCAACCCCCAGCTGGCTGTTATAGCTGCGGTGTGGCGTTTCCCAACCTCAGCAGCTCACACACCTGACGTGGTATTGACTCGAACAGCCCAGCGAGCCTCAGCGAACTAAAACGAAGAATCTACAAATCTGTGTGCAGCAAGCAGTCTCTACGACAGCATTCCCCCAAGTCTTCAATCGGCTACCGTGGCCCCCTCTCACCCTACACATCGACAACCCGAACGTTGTTGCTATGTACCATCTCACACCCTTCGCCTCTCTTTCCCTCCCTGCCTCTTACCGCCCGCCCGCCCGCCCGCCCCAGCCCCCTTATCGACGAACGAATCGTTCGTGTACGCAGTGCCTGCCCACCTTCTTTCCTCCTCGGTCCCCGCCTCGAACAACACCTCGCCCTTGTGAGCCAACTCCATTAATCTCTTCCTTTCCATTCCACTATGCCAGCGTTGGCGTGGGCGTTGCAGACACGTGATTTCGTTGCGACAGGCGATACCGTCGAGAGGGAAGAGTTTGTAAGACTTCGATTGCGACACTGCGCGCTAGGCCCTTACGCTCACAGCACTTGAACCAGCGGCGTAGCGAGACAACAAGCGAGGAAGAGGGGGTGGTTGTGGTGGGGCAAGGGGTGACAGGCCACAATGTCGCATGGAGCGAGGCAGCGGGGGGGGGGGGGAGGGCAGACAAGCTGTGTACAGCGGTGCAGTGCAACACATCGTCATATCCGGCGAACCAAGACGATTCCATGGCGCCAAAAACTATCATCACAACACTAGGCGCCGCCTACATTAAATCCACAGCGAACGGTGGAAACCAGAGAGTAAAAAAGGGCCTGCGGCCCTGCGGGGTCGCAGAGTTTTTTCGAAAATATGCTCTCAGCGCAGCATCCCCGGGGGGCAATGTGCGGCTTGCCGCAGGAAAAAAAAATGGGCCGCATGTTTTTCGCCGTAGAAAATAATTTTATGCGGCCCTTTCTTTCGCCGGAGGCGAATCGTTTTTCGTGGGGGCTTTTTGTGCTGGAAAGAGACATATCCTGCCATTAAAACACGTAAAGCACACGATAAATGACATTTTAACGCTATATTTGGTTGATTTTCATACGGAAAAGCCCATTTTTTTCGCTCCGCAGTCCCTCCGGCCCTCCGGGGAGGACCCTACGCGGGCGGCGTCCTCCGGGGGCCGCATCTCGCCTTCGCCTCCGGACTTTTTTACTCTCTGGTGGAAGCCATTGCACACGCACCTCATGCTAACTTCCTCGCGCGACCCGGTTCTGATGAACACATCGCTAATTCGGCAGAAAGCTTGGTACTGCGACGGTCCCGAGAGACCGGCGGGCTCCGAGAAGTCTCCGGACTGATACCTTTTTCGCGGCGAGAGCGGGAACAAGGCGGAGAAGAGCACTCCAAGCATCAGGACCAGAGACTGCTTCCGACTCAATAACGAAATATGTGCATCACGGAAGCAGCACTAAAATTTCCTCGTCGTACCACCACACTCAACAACGCGTATTCGGTTGCATCGTGTTATCAAAATCTCTCTCTCTCTCTCTCTCTCTCTCTCTCTCTCTCTCTCTCTCTCTCTCTCTCTCTCTCTCTCTCTCTGCCTATCTGTCTCTCCCTCCCCCCC